GTTGCCCAGGCAGAAGTGGAGTGGCACAATCTCAGCTCACTACAACCTCTGCCTCCCATGATGTTTTGTCATGTTGCCCAGTCTGGTCTTGAACTCCTGAGCTCAAGTGATCCTCCCACTTCGACTTCCCAAAGTGCTGGGATTACAGGTGTGAGCCACCACACCCAGCCTGTTTGTGTTGGTTTAGGCCACTAAGTGTGTGGTAACTTGTTGCAGCAGCCATAGAAAACAAATACTGAGGACATGAGGAATCAAGCACCAGCACTTAAATCTGCCTGCTGCTGATATCTGGCACTTCTATTTATATTTCTTTGGCCACAGCAAGCCACATAGTCGTGCCTAACTTCATAGGACCAGAAAACTCTGCTAGTCCCATATGCCCAGCCTTAGAGGGAAACCGAATTGTGGTGAATATAGTAATGTCTATTATACCTTGCTACCTGCAGTGCCTGCTTATATTTTCTATTCTATTCCATTCCATTAAAAAAAAAAAATCTTTTAAGTTGGTTATTTATTTATTTATTTTTTTTGAGATGGAGTCTTGCTCTGTCACCCAGGCTGGAGTGCAGTGGCCTCTGCCTCCCTGGTTCAAGGGATTCTTCTGTCTCAGCCTCCCGAGTAGCTGGGATTATAGGTGCGTATCACCACGCCAGGCTAATTTTTGTATTTTTAGTAGAGACGGGGTTTCACAATGTAGGCTGGACTGGTCTTGAATTCCTGACCTCAAGTGATCTGCCCACCTCGGCCTCCCAGAGTGCTGGGATTACAGCCGTGAGCCACCACACCCAGCCATAAGTAGGTTTTATTGTCAACTGGTATGTGACCCCCTGTTTGGAAAACATTACAGACCCTCTTCTGCCCAGGCCTCCTGGACCATATGACATACCTGATGTGTGACACACATAGGCATAGATGATTGGCCCAGGTATGGAACATGTGACCAGCGTTGACCAATCAAATTTCTCTCCTGGGAGTTTGGAAGTGGGCCATTCAGCCAGTTAACAGTGGGAAGCTGAGTGAGAAGCAGAGTGGAAACAGTGTCAGAGTGGCAGTCACATCCAAGCCAAAAGGATGGAGGAGCAGAAAAGCCCTGAGTAAGCAGAGAGAGCTGGTCCACAGAGGCAATGGGGCAGCCGCCCAGAAGGCAGTGCAACCGGGGGAGAGGTGCAGAGAGCGCGACTGCCTGAGATTCAGATGGCTTCCCGGGTCCTGGCGCCAGCCCCCATGCATCCTGCCTGCTTCCCGTGAGAGTTTTGCCTTCTTATAACATAGCCTCCCCTTTTTCTTGAGCTACTTTGGGCGGTGGGGTCGGGTACAGTGGGGGCTGGTTCTGTTCCTTGTCTCCACTGAGCCTTAATCAGCTGGAACACTGCTGGTATTTCTCTTACGGGCACCCAGCTGTGGCTCTGTGAATCAGGCCCTGGGGCATAGATGGGGCTGGGGGTGAGGCAGACCCTGCCTCCAGCATCCTGGAAATTTGGCTTTGACCAGTCTTGGACGTGTGTGCTTGCTCTTTGGAGTGGACAGGCAGAGCCATCTGTGTGACGCTGCATAGGTGGGGGTCCCGGGAAATGAAACATCGCCACAGCGGCCTCTATTCTGATCGTGATAAGATCAGGAAGCCCCAGGAGTTTTATCACAGGGGGCTTGGCAGTGTGACGGAGTAGAAGGACATGGGCTCTGGACCCCATGTCCAGGGGGCAGACCACGCTTCACCTCAGTGAGCCTCAATGTCTTCATCTCTGAAATGGGATTATCATAAGGATTGGCAGTGGTCTAGGAAAAACACAGTCATGTCTAGGGCATGGTGTGCTCTCAGGGAATGCAGCAGCTGCTGCTGTGGTTTGAGGAAGCCATCAGAGTCCCACTTCCTGAAGGAGGTGGCCCTGGTACTGATGAGGTTAGCAGCAGGTCATCCCCACTGCTGGCCACGCTTCCTACCCTGGCCACCCTCACTCTGCCCCTTGCCCCTCTCCTCTCCTGGTTTCCCCTCTTCATTGTTATATCTGATATTGATAAAAACACCCGGTTTAGGAAAACAGCCGGGTTGGATATGAAGCACCCAGCTTCTGGAGGTGGGCAGATAGAATTGGGTCTGAATACTGACCAAGCCCCTGGCTTGCTATGTGTTCTTGGGTGAATTGCTGTGTCTCTCTGAGCCTTGAGTTAATTACCTGTAAAATGAGCATGATAATAAGTGCTGTTATGAGAAATTACTAGCCACTCAGCAAAGTTCTGTCTTCCATCCCTCCCTTCTTGAAGCTGCCCCTCCCAGCCTGACCAGGGTGTCCTGCTCCATGGCTCTCCGTGACTCATTTGTTTGCAGCCTCGGTCACTTGTGGCCTCTCCTTTCCCTCAGACCCTGGGCTCCCGAGGCTTCTGGAAGCAGATGGGGTCTCTGTGGCCGGTGTTGCTTCTCTGGTCTTCTCTGCGGATCCAGCCCCAGCTTGGGAGCTGCTGCTTCAAACCGTGTGATCTGTATTTTTTCTCACTTTAGCAATTATCACACCACAGCTGACTGTGTCATTTTCATACTCCGAACGCTAATAAATATTTATGAGGAGGAAGCTGGGCGTGGTGGCTCATGCCTATATTCCCAGCACTTTGGAGGCTGGAGGATGGGTGGATCACTTGAGGTCAGGAGTTTGAGACCAGCCTGGCCAGCCAGCATGATGAAAACTCATCTTTACTAAAAATACAGAAATTAGCCAGGCCTGGTGGTGCATGCCTGTAATCCTAGCTACTGCGGAGGCTGAGGCATGAGAATTGCTTGGGTCCGGGAGGTGGAGGTTGCAGTGAGCCAAGATCATGCCACTGCACTCCAGCCTGGCCAATAGAGTGAGACTCTGTCTCAAAAAAATAAAATTATAAAATAAATAAATATTTATGAGGAGGAGAAAAGCCCTGGACTCCCAGGGGAGGTGGGGATGGGATGTGCCAGGCTTCTTAGCAAGCCATGCTCACACCCACCAGTGGTCCCTGCAGGCCCAGAAGTGAGAAGTGGGGGTGGGCAGGGCCAGGACTATGAAGGCAGTGCAGAGCCACCATCCACTTGCCTTTTCTTCTGGAAGGAGACAGGAGTGGCTGTCTATGTGCGGTGGTGGGCCTTATTGTCCTGCCCACCCTGGTGCCTGCTCGACCCATGCTCCTGGGGGAGGACTGGACATCAAGAAGTCCCATCAGCCTCATGTGTGCCTGCCCCCCCACCAATCCACGACTGTCTTAGCCTCTCTTATTCCATCTTTTATTTTAACCCGTCCAGGGCCTGTGTCCCAATCCCCCCTGCTCTTCCCCAAACCCCTCTCTTATCTCTGGGTCTCTGTCTCCATCTTTCAATTTTCTCCTCTCCTTCCCAGCAATTACTTTCAGATGTCCTAGGGCTAGTAGCTGTTGGAGGCTAGGGAAGGGGGTCTCAAGCTCCAAGATGCAGCTCAGGGGAGACGGCAGGAGGAGAAACGGAAGGCAAGTGAGCTCCACTTTTTGGGAGTCATGGACTACATCTCAACCTGACTCCTTGTCCAGCGCTCTGCAGGGTGACTGTGGCATATTCTCCGCCTTTCCTGGGCTTCAGTTTCTGCTAAGTAAGGCAGCTGATTCCTTCACTCATTCATTCATTCACCTGTTCAACTAATATTTATTGAGTGTTTGCTACCTGCCATTCATCTTTTGTGTTTGTTTGTTTTTGTTTTGAGATGGAGTCTCGCTCTGTTGCCTAGGCTGGAGTGCAGTGGCAGATCTTGGCTCACTGCAACGTCTGTCTCCTGGTTTCAAGCAATTCTCCTGTCTCAGCCTCCCGAGTAGCTGGTATTACAGGTACCTGCCACCATGCCCAGCTAATTTTTGCATTTTTAGTAGAGATGGGGCTTTACCACGTTGGCCAGGCTGCTCTCGAACTCCTGACCTCAGGTGATCCACCTGCTTTGGCCTTCCAAAGTGTTGGGATTACAGGCGTGAGCCACGTGCCTGGCCCCATCATTTATTAAACAATGATTGCAGTGCCATTCTGGGTGGTTGTAGTAGATGCATCTGTGGATAAGAGAGACGAAGATCCCTGCCCTCGTGGAGTGAGATGTTAGCAGAGTAGACACATAACAAACAAGTAAAATATATACACATTAGAAAGTGATAAGTGTTGGCTGGATGTGGTGGCTCACGCTTGTAATCTCAGCACTTTGGGAGGTTGAGGTGGTCAGATGGCTGGAGTCCAGGAGTTTGAGACCAGCCTGAACAATATGGTGAAACCCCATCTCTACCAAAAGAAAAAAAGTACACAAAAAATAAAAATTAGCCTGGGGTAATGGCATTGTGCCTGTGGTCCCAGTGACTTGACAGGCTAATGAGGGAGGATTGCTTGAGCCTGGGAAACAGAGGTTGTAGCAGGGAGCTGAGATTGCACCACTGCACTCCAGCCTGGGTGACAGAGTGAAACCTTTCTCAAGAAAGAAAGTGATGAGTGCTATGGAAAAAGAAGAAACAGAGCAAGAGAGGGACGCCAGGCCCTGCGGGCATGGTGGGGTTGAGCATGCCTCTCAGGAAGAGCGTCCCAGAAGAGAACTGGCCCCAAGCTGGGAATCGCCCTGGTGTGCTTGAGGACCCGCCAGGGGCAGATGTGACTGGAGATGGGTGAGGGAGAGTAGGAGGTGCCACCGGGAAGTGAGGGTAGATCACACCGACCTTACAGCATGCCAGGCTTTTCCTCGCTTGAGTGCAGAAAACTCCCTCAGTCTGCCCTGCATTTGGAGACTCCCTCAGTCTGCCCTTTAAAGACCTGACTGCAAAGGGGCCGTTGCATAGCCCAGGAGAGCTCTGATGGCTACCGTGGGGGCTTACCAGTGGAGATGGTAAGCGTGGATTACATGGGCACTGTTCAGATCTCAAACTTGCATCGTGCCTGTCAGTCACTCCGGCCCTGGTCCCTGGTCCTGCCTCAAGGTGGCTGCCGGAGCTTGCCCCTGGGCAGGATACACGAACCCTGGCCTGACCTCTCTTTCTCTCCACAGAGTGTTCAAGAAGGCCAGTCCGAATGGAAAGGTGAGTCTGTTACAGCTGCACCCAGCACCTCCCTGACCTCACACTCTGGTCATTTACTCTTGGGACAGCAGAGGAAATGGCATGTCCTCCTCCCCTCTGTGGGAGGGGGCAGGTGCTACTCGCCGTCTTAGGGGTGACACAGCTTTGTCTTTCAGAGCTGTCAGTTGAAAGAGGAGGGACATACTCAGGAAACTTTTTGTCTGAGTGGGGAAGTACAGCTCCCCCGAGCTCTGGTGTGGGGAGAGATGGCCTGTTGGCCTGTCGTAGAGAGACTTCACTGAGGGTGTGACCGTGGAGGACAAGCCAATCAGTAAGTGCCGAGGGCTGTGGGAGAGTGGATTCCCTGCTGAGAGGACCCTGGCATCACCTTCTTATCCGGGGCAGCTCCCAGGGCCTGTCTCCCTTTCTTTCTACCTGCAGGTGCAGATGCCATCCTGCCTCCCCCTTAGTTCAGCAGGTAGATATTACTGACATCATTCCACACCAGGCCTGGGTTGAGCCTGGCGGGGACAGAGGTAGGGTGTACTGAGATGAATGAGGCACAGCCTGTGCCTCTCACAGCCAGATGGCAGAGGCAGACAGAAACCCATCATTTCAGTATGAAGTGGCAGCCGGGAGATATGGGACCACTGGGGGATCCAGCCTGGTTGGCAGTGGCAGCCTCTAGGAGGGATGCATTTCCGGGAAAGGCAAGGTGAAAACGGCATTGTAGGCAGGACATAAAAGCATAGGGTCTGTGAGAACCTTAAGCAGCTGAGGTCAGAGTTCCAAGAGGGAGGCTGAGGCTGAGGCTGAGAGGCTGCAGGAACCCTGTGGCTGGGCTTATGAACTGGCCTGGGTTGGCGAATAGCACCACGTGTGCTTCCACATCTCTCTCCTGCGCCCATAGCAGATACCATCAGTCACATCACCCTTTCCTGCTGCACCAGGGTTTCATCTTAGATTCCTTCTTAGCCCAGATCCCCAGACAGCATCCCAACTCCTCCCCGCACTGGTAGATCAGAGTTGGCACTTAGAACAAAACCCATTTGTCATCCTTACTTGTGTTCACTGAGGAACCATTAATGGGTTGCAGGCAGGAGTAGCATGGTTAGATTTGAATTTTAGGGCTGAGTGTGGCGGCTCACACCTATAATCCCAGCACTTTGGGAGGCCTATGTGGGTGGATCACTTGAGGTCAGGAGTTTGAGACCAGCCTGGCCAACGTGGTGAAACCCTGTCTTTACTAAAAATACAAAAATTAGCCAGGTGTGGTGGCATGCACTTGTACTTACGGCTACTTGGGAAGCTGAGGTGTGAGGATCACTTGAACCTGGGAGTCAGAGGTTGTAGTGTGCCAAGATTGAGCCACTGCATTCCAGCCTGGGTGACAGAGTGAGCCTCCGTATCAGAAAAAAAAAAAAAAAAAAAGCCAGGCATGGTGGCTCATGCCTGTAATCCCAGCACTTTGGGAGGCCGAGGCAGATGGATCACCTGACATCAGGTGTTCGAGACCTGCCTGACCAATATGACGAAACCTCATCTCTACTAAAAATACAAAAATTACCCAGGCATGGTGTCATGCGCCTCTAATTCCAGCTACTCGGGAGGCTGGGGCAGGAGAATCGTTTAAACCTGGGGGGTGGAGGTTGCAGTGAGCCGAGATCACGCCATTGCACTCCAGCCTGGGCAACAAGAGCAAAACTGTCTCAAAAAATTTGCATTTTAGAATGACTAGTCTAGCTAAGGAGGAGAGTAGGCTGTCAGCAAGTGAGCAGCAAAAGGCTAGTGTAGTCTAGGCAGGAATGGTTGTGGGAATGGAGAGGGATGGACTTGAGAAGTATGATGGACTTCGAGTCACAAGGATCGAGGGGTTGTTGAGGAGCAGGACACATCAGGGTGGCGCTCTGGATCTGTCTTTGAGCTGCTGGAATTCTCTCTCAGGGTTTTTCCCTGCAGGCTGGCTACTGAGCAGGTCATGAGCTCCCTGATCCCTCAGTGCCTCAGAAGGCAAGTCCTCACGCACAGAACTGCTAACTGGGAGGCGGTGCCTTCGTTAAGTAGCTGGAGGTCACCTTTCCACAATGTGTATCTATTTTAAAACATTGTGTTGTGCATGATAAATAACATCATTTTATGTCATTTTAAAATATTAATTTAGAAAAAAAAGAAAAGTCCTCGTATCAGTGGATCCCTGCCTGGCTGCATGGGAGGAGGAGCAACTGGGGAACGCAGCGCTGCCCGCATTCAGAGCCCCTGAGTGCTCCGTGCTCCTGCCTGCCTAGGGCTCTCAGCCTCTGAGATGCCTGCACTCCTGCTTAGCTGTCTTCTCTGCCGCTGCTGCTCCACCCACAGTGGTGCTTGGCATGAAGATCTCTCTGGGCCTGAGTGTCCTCATCTGTAAAACAGGAACAATAATCACTCCTTCACAGGGTTTTGGGAGGAAGAGGTGCTTTTACCATTTTATATGGGTTTGTGAATCTTGGTATTAGGGCTGGGGTGAAGGCCCAAGTCCAGTTAGGATTTTGATAAAGGTTAGGGATGGGTCTAGAGTTTCAGGGGCAACTCGCAGGGTTTCCTCCCGGGCAGGGTCCTGTGTCCTCTGGGCCCGCAGCTGCTAACACCCCCTATGCCTCTCCTCCCCAGCTCACCGTCTACCTGGGAAAGCGGGACTTTGTGGACCACATCGACCTCGTGGACCCTGTGGGTGAGTCACTGGAGGGTGGGAAGAGGGCTAGGGAAAGGTGGGGCTCCCCAGCCTCCCAGGAATAGCTCTCAACTCTCCAGAGGGGCCTGGTGCCAAGAATAGGGGCGAATGGCTTCCTGCTTCAGGCAGCAAGCATTTACTGAGCAGCTACTTTCCACTCAAGTGAGGACTGCAAGAAGAGACTGTGGGAGGGACTGAGGTGACAATCAGGGAAGGCCTCCTGATGATGGTAAGAAGGGTGATGACGACAGATGCAGCCACTTACTGTAAGGCATGTCATGTAGCAGACAGTGGGGATGTCTATGACGACTATCCCTGCTTTACAGAAAAGGAGAATGAGGCACAGAGAGGCTTGGTGATTTACTCCAGGTCACAGGTTAGCAGATAGAGTAGCCCGATTCAAACCTGGCAGTCTGCAAAACACTTTGTTCTGCTTCCTTGTGATGGCAAAGGGTGGGAGGCAGAGGGAGAATCCTTCTTAGGACTTGTGACACGGGGGCTCCTCACTTAAATGGGGTTTCTGCTAGAAGCCGGGCTGGCTGAAGGTACCTTCCAAAGTCTTGTTCAAGTTCAGGGTTTTGCAATCTCTGCATGCTTGACATTTTGGATTGGATAGTTCTTTGTCGGAGTGGCCTGTCCTGTGTGTTATGGGACCGATAGTCACATCCCTGGACTCAACTCATTCAATGCCCAGAGTACCTCATGCTCCAGTTATGACAACTAAAAATGTCTTTAGACTGGGTGTGGTGGTTCATACCTGTAATCCCAGCATTTTGGGAGGCCAAGGCAGGAGGATCACTTGAGGTCAGGAGTTCGAGACCAGCCTCGCTAACATGGTGAATCCCCATCTCTACTAAAAATACAAAAATTAGCTGGGCATGATGGCAGGCACCTGTAATCCCAGCTACTTGGGAGGCTGAGGTAGGAGACTTGCTTGAATCTGGGAGGTGGAGGTTGCAGTGAGCTGAGATTGTATCACTGCACTCCAGCCTGGGTGACAGAGTAAGACTCCATCTCAAAAAAAAAGAAGTCTTTAGACATTACCAAAATGTCTCCTTTGGGGACAAAATTACCCTGATTAAGAATCACTGCTGTCATTGGAAGAGCCTTGGTCTCATGGCCTCTTCTCATGTCTGTTTGTGGAGGGAAGCCTAGAATTACCCCTGTTTTACAATTGGGCATGGTGAGATCCAAAGAGGTTCAATGATTTTTTAAAGATGAGCCAACCAACTGGGCTTGGTGGCTCATGCCTGCAATCCTAGCACTTTGGGAGGCTGAGGCAGGTGGATCACCCGAGGTCAGGCCAAGACCAACCTGGCCAACATGGTAAAATCCCATCTTTACTAAGAAAAAAAAAAACAATTAGCCGAGCTTGGTGGCATGTGCCTGTATTCCCTGCTACTGGGCTGGCTGTGGCATGAGAATCGCTTGAACCTGGGAGGTAGAGTTGCAGTGAGCTGAGATCATGCCACTGTACTCTAGTCTGGGTGACAGGGCAAGACTCCATCTAAAAAAAAAAAAAATAGCATATCAAAGTGAGGCCTAGTGTGGCCTCTCCCATCAGGTCCCTGTGGGCTGTCCTGGGACCAGGGCAAGAGTGATTTGTGTGGTTCCTGAGCCAAGGGAGCGAGCCCAGCCGAGGGCTTCAGCTCACCAGGAGGAAGACCTGGGGACACTGGGATCCAGGGCCAGGGGGCTGTCAGCAGGGCCCTTCATGGCCTGGAGCAGAACACCCCCACTTCTCCTCTCCAACTGTGCCTGGGATACTGTTTGGTGTCTTCTGAAGCTCAGTCTCCCTCTGCCGTTGGCATCTTCCCCCTGAGCTGGCCCCTCAGAGGCTGGGAGCAGGCATCCGGTGTTCGCCTGGGGCTGCTTCATGTCGTCATTTCTGGTGGGCCCTCTATAGCCAGGGTTGTCCATGCACATTGGCCTACTAAGGGCAGCAGCAGAGGTGGCCCAGAGGCTGGGAGAGGGATGGAGGCAGGAAACCAGCCCCCAACACACGCAGGCACCCTGAGAGCTGTTCAGCAGGTTTTCACAGAGCACCTCCTCAGTGCCAGGGCCTTCGTGAGCCCTGGGATCCCCGAGAGCTCCGGGGCACTGTGTGTTGCTGATCAGGGACTCACAGTGAGAGATGCTCCTCCCATAGCGACCCTGCTGTTTGGCCTGATCTGATCACACCTTCCCTGTGCTTCCCTGTTCTCCACCAAACCTGCATGTAAGTCCAAGCCCATTGGCCTGGCCAGCAGGACTCTGATGATCCAGCCTGGCCCTCCTCTTCCACTAGCCTCCAGAATCTGCTCTCCCAGGCCTCAGAGCCACGCTGTTTCCCACTGCCTGCCTTGGCCTCCCTCTTCATCATATAATCGATGATGCTCACTTGTCCTTTGAGGCCTGGCTCCAGCCTCCCTTCCCCAGGGAGCCTTCTGTGACACCCCTGATAGGTTGAGTTCCCTTTCAGGGGCTCCCGCTCCATTGGTTTTCTTCTGAACCCCTGGTGCCCAGTGAAGGATGTGGCACAGAGGAAACTTCACCATAAAAGCAAGGGAGACGCGTGGCAGGCCCTGGGGACAGGCTGGGCACTCCCCTGACCAGCTGTCCCTTGCGCCTCCCCAGGGCTGGGATTGGACTGGGACCTCTCCAGGCACTGACTTCCAGGTACCTCTGAGATTTCTAAGAGGTCGTCTGGGAGGAGCATGGAGTGGGAGTGACAATGGGTTGAGTGACAAGAGGGTAGAGGAGGAGAGAGAGGAAAGAAAGTTTTGGCCAGAGATAGACAGGGGATGTCAGCAAGGGAGCGACCCTGAGCCAGTGTTCCTGGCCTTCTGGGGTGCTGAGCACAGATGTCCTTTGTGTTCAACTGGACTCTGCCCCGAGGGCTGGCTTCAGGGCACTCAGGCACCTTCCACAACCTTCAGAGTGCTCTGGAGTGCCCAGCATTGTGTAAGCACCGTACATGTGTGTACATTCACACATGCACCCATTCAGTCCTCACGGGAGACCCATGAGGGAAGCACTGCAGATCACAACCCCGATCCACACGTGCCAAGCTCAAGAAGCTCTGAAAACCTAACATTGCTTCCAAATTTAATGAAGAATTCATTTATTGGCAACCCTGACCCAAACTGATGTGAGGCTAATTATGCCTTATTTCACCTCTTGGTGAGAATCTTTGTGTTTTCCTATGGAGGCACATTTATTAATGGCTTTAATAATAGGGTGCAGATCTTGCAGAGGTCATTACAGAATATATACAGCATGTACCATTTTGCCTATTTTATTTTATTTTGAGACAGAGTCTCACTCTGTTGCCCAGGTTGGGGTGGAATGGCATAATCTCAACTCACAGCCGCCTCCGCCTCCCAGGTTCAAGTGATTCTCTTGTCTCAGCTTCCCCAGTAGCTGGGACTACAGGCACCCACCACCACACTTGGCTAATTTTTGTATTTCTACTATAGATGAGGTTTTACCATGTTGGCCAGGCTGGTCTTGAACTCTTGGCTTCAAGTGATTCACCCATCTCAGCCTCCCAAAGTGTTGGGATTATGGGCATGAGCCACCATGCCCAGCCCATTTTGCCTCTGTATACTTCACAATTACTGAATTCCAAAGTGCACCTGGTTCTAGGAGTTTCAGACCTGTGTTATTATTCTTCCTAACAGATGAAGAAACAGAAATGTCAACTAACCTGCTTGAAGTCACCAGCTGGGTCCAGAAGGCTGGCCTGGGATGGGGGAAGGGTGGGGTACGGTGGAGATGGGCAGTGCCACCCGCCAGATGCCCGCCTTTCCGTTTTCCTCAGGATGCCTTCAGATGGACAGATGGTTGGATCTGGGCTTGGGCTGGTGTTTGGGGTGCAGGGATTTGGGAGGCCAGGTTGGGAGAGGCTGCTCACTCTGTACTTTCCCCAGATGGTGTGGTCCTGGTGGATCCTGAGTATCTGAAAGAGAGGAGAGGTAGGCTGTGGCTGCCCCCCCTAGCCTGCCAAGGGCCTCCTCTTCCTCCTGGACCTCTAGCATAGGGTGTCCCTGCCCACCCCCACTGGTTCCCCTGAAAGCCCCAACAAATACCCGCGCAGTTGCCCTTGCCTTCTCCAGCCTGGGCTGGCCCTGCCCCAATCTACTTTGGGAGAAGGTTTCCCCATGCCCCAAGCGCTTTTACATCAATATGTCATGACTATGGCAGGGCTGGGGGTGCCAGCAGGGCAGGAGCAGGGTCTCCTTTAACAAAACAGAACACTGATACTGGGGCAGTATCAATGCACATCCAAGGTCAGCAGGAAGACAGGAGTGGGGGACTGGGCTGTGACAAGATCCTTGCCTTCCACACACCACCCAGCACTTCCCTGTCCCCACCACTCCCTGCTCCTTCCCCAGGTTCCCCTACCCTCACCCCAGGCCACCCCCAAGCCTGTCAGACCATTTCCATACCCCTCCACACAAGCCCTGGGGAGAGGTGGGAGGTGAAGGGGAGAGGTGGGAGGTGAAGGATAGAGCTGGCTCAGCAGGTAGCCCCTCTTCCTCCCGGGGGCCAGGCCGTGGCATCCTTCCAGGTGCTCAATACCAGCTCCTCCTGGTGGAGACAGTACAGCCATCCCCACAGAGCTTGGGACAGGCCTGGGGTCCTCAGTGGGGCGGGTCTCCACCTGCATCGGACACTCTGCAGGGCTCGCCTGCTGCTCTCCCGGCCCCTCCTCAGTGCTCCCTGCTCCCCACAGTCTATGTGACGCTGACCTGTGCCTTCCGCTATGGCCGAGAGGACCTGGATGTCCTGGGCCTGACCTTTCGCAAGGACCTGTTTGTGGCCAATGTGCAGTCCTTTCCACCGGCCCCCGAGGACAAGAAGCCCCTGACACGGCTGCAGGAGCGCCTCATCAAGAAGCTGGGCGAGCACGCCTACCCTTTCACCTTTGAGGTCAGGGACTGCCATCCCTGGGGCCCCATTCCAGAAGCACCACCTCTAGGAAGCCCTCTGGGGTGGGCACAGGGGGCGGTGAGGGTCAGCTGCTCCCTGCCACCCGGTTTCCCAGTGGACGCTGGGACCTGGGGCACTGACACCTGTGTTACCTGGTAAGTGTCTGTTCTTCAGCCCCTGCTGGGGGTGTCACCCATACCTCTGGGCTACTCTTCAGAGCCTTCTAAGGCCAGGTTATTGGTGGGAGAAAGGGTGGGCAAAGGGTCTTCAGAGAAAGAAGGAGCCCTTTCTGGCCCCTGAGTCACTGCAAGGTGCCTCCCACTCAGATCAGCTCCCCACTTGCCTGGCTGCCTAGCTCGCAATCGAGGGATGGCAAGCAGGTGATCTTTCTGCCCCACTGCCTTTCAAATCAGAGACTTTGAGACATTGGATTTCAAAATCTCATGTTTCTGGCCAGGCACAGTGGCTCATGCCTGTAATCCCATCACTTTGGGAGCCCAAGGCGGGCAGATCATGAGGTAAGGAGATTAAGACCATCCTGGCCAACGTGATGAAACCTCTACTAAAAATACAAAAATTAGCTGGGTGTGATGGCGTATGCCTGTAATCCCACTACTCGGGAGGCTGAGGCACAAGAATCTCTTGAACCCAGGAGGTGGAGATTGCAGTGAGCTGAGATCATGCCACTGCACTCCCGCCTGGCAACAGAGTGAGACTCTGTCTCAAAAAAAAAAAAAAAATCTCATGTTTCTTAGATTCTCTGATTCTGAGATTCAGTGCAGTCCCTTCCTTAGCTCCCTATGGCTGCTGGCTGCTGAAACAAATTGCCACAACTCTGGTGGCAATTAAAATAACACGGATGTATACGCTTACAGCTCTGGATGTCAGAAGTCCCAAAATAGGTCTCAGTGGTCTACCATGGAGGCATGGCAGGGCTGGCTCCTCCGGAGGCCCTCGGAATGTGTCCACCTTTTCCAGCTTCGCTTTCCTCGGCTCACAGCACCTTCCTCCATGGTCAAAGCTAGCGGTGACTGGTTGAGTCTTGCACATCCCGTCACTCTGGCGTGGACACTTCTGCCTCCTGCTTCCACTTCTAAGGACCCTCCTGATTCTATCGGGCCCACCAGAACCATCCAGGATACTATCCCCATCTCAAGGCCTTAATTGGATCTGCAAAGTCACTTTTGTCATTAAGGTCCCAGGTTTTGGGGGGTTAGGGTGTGGACATCTTTGGGGGACCATTATTCTGCCTACCACAGTAGACATCATAGAAAGATCTATTTAAACTATTGCTGTGAGGACTGGGCTGGGCCAAACCCTTCAGATAAAGAAAGCTCAGACACTTGGGCATGGCTTGGCATGGTCTGACGGGGTAGACATGGCCTGTTCCGAGGGTGCCCAGGTCTGATAGGTGTATGGGAGTGTCTGGGGTGCAAGACATGAGAAAAAGGTGGATGTGACAGGTGCTCATTCTGTATCCCTCTCGACAGATCCCTCCAAACCTTCCATGCTCTGTGACATTGCAGCCGGGCCCCGAAGACACGGGGAAGGTAGGTCACCCCAAGGGGACCATCTCTCTGGCTCCAGGACTCTCATGTCCCCAGGTCCCTGGTTTTCTCCCTGGGAGGTGCTGGACACACAGTACCCCTCTTCCTGTTGAAGAGTTTTTGTGTCTAGGCTAGGCTGGTCCCACCTTGGACAACCAGTCTCTCTTCAGACAGGGCAGCAGGTATGGGGTCAGCCTCACTCTCCCATCCAGTGGTGGGTCCGGAGTCCCTCCTGAGTCACCCTTGCTGGTCGTGGTGTGGGCTGCAACAGGACCAAAGTGTTCTGAGGACCTATACCTGGCCTCACGTAACCCCCTGGCAACCTTGATTCAAGGCGCGATCATCTCCATTTCTCAGATGAGGAAACTGAGGCTTGGAGAAACGTGACACCACTAGTGTCCCAGGCTCTGGACCTTTGAGCCCAGCTTCCCCATCTGCAAAGTGGAGATCACAGCATGTGCCTCCTTGTCTTGTTAGAGGGATACTGGAGCAAGCCACCCAAGGCCAGGTCTGCACACAGAAGTGGGTGCACCCAGTCTGCTCAGGTGCCTGTTGCTATTTCTGAGCAGCAGCCTGGATAAGGATAGCCACGCAGACTAAGGCAGGAGCCCGAAGAGCAGAGCTGCGCTAGGGTGGTTTGGGATGCCCCATGTCAGATGCAGGAGGCAGTACAGCTCTGGGGCTGAGCACAAGGGCATTTCACAGCTTCTTCCGGACCGAGGAGGGCTGGGCTGTGGGAGCTTGGTGTTCCCGTCCAGTGTCCTCGTTTGTAAAATGAGAGGTGGGCTGGCCGCGCACTGAGGATGCTGCTTCTCCAAGGCCCTGCAGTCAGTGAACCCTTCCCCACAGGCTTGCGGTGTGGACTATGAAGTCAAAGCCTTCTGTGCAGAGAATCTGGAGGAGAAGATCCACAAGCGGTGAGTAGGATGCCCGGGTGTGGGCTGCCTGCTTGGTGAGGAGGGAGACAGGATGGGCAAAGTCCAAGAGGAGATAAGTAACAATACCTGGAAGTGTGTGAGGAGGGGTGCACATTCCAGCCTTGGGAACTCTGAGAAGGGCACTCTGGAAGCCGGGAGGTCACGGAGGGCTTCCTGGGGGCGGTGGCTTCAACTGCCTGGGTTCAGGCTGCAGCATCTTCTCCTTTGCACCACTGTGGCAGCTTCCGCCCTCAACTCCCTGCCCCTCATTTCATCCCCTCTAGACTGAATGTCTTTTTAATTTGTTTTGGAAAAACCCTAAACTCAGATTGTGTTAACCAGTGAGCAGGCTGTTTCCTGACCATCCCCATTTTCCAGTTTTCCTCCTGGGAGGTGTTCAGCAGGGGTGGAGTGTGTGTCAATGACAGCTTCTGAGAGAGGAGGAAAGGAGATAGTGAATCCACCCGGGGAGAGTGATGGAGAGGTCGGCCCACATCTGAGAGAGGGGAAGCGTTCTCTGGAGAGGCACAGCCCGGGCAGACTGAGAGCCCAGGCTGGCAGCCAGAAACAGCTGGCCCGGATGTCTCATTCCTGCCCCTCTTGGATCAGGCTGTGCTCTGCCTGCCTCCTGGAATGGCTGGCCTCAGGCCCCCCAGACGCTGATGGTCCTGCCTCCAGAGACACTGTTCCCAGAGAAGGCTGGGGAGGGCACAGCAACCTCTTTAGGGGGAAGGCTGAGTTTGCCACCTGGTGGCTGTAGGGTGTATTGCATGCATTTGCATCTGCAGCCCAGACTGCTGTGTGTGGGAGATGGGACTTTTCTCCCTTGCTTCCCTGTCTCCCTTTTCCTCTTAAGACCTGAGACCAGGGAAAAGGACGGGTGCTGTGAGATGTGGGAGGAGGCTTGGTAGGCACAAGAAAGAGGAGGTGACTTTGAGAGCCACCCTCTTACCCTACCACCAATGGGACATTTAAAATCCACACCAAGGAGTTACTAAGAATAATGATACAGAAGCTGTCATTTATCAAGGGCTGACTAGGTGCCAGACACCATTCACGGTGCTGGGTGTGTATGAACTGATTAAATCCTCACAGCAACTCTAAGAGGTAGGTCCTGGCTGGGCGCAGTGGCTCTCACTTTGAAAGGCTGAGGTGGGCAGATCACTTGTGGCCAGGAATTCAGACCAGCCTGGTCAACAGGGTAAAATCCCATTTCTACTGAAAATACAAAAATTAGGTGGGTGTGGTGGCACATGCCTGTAATCCCAGTTACTCGGAAGGCTGAGGCAGGAGAATCGCTTGAACCTGGGAGGCAGGGGTTGTAGTGCGCTGAGATCACGTCACTGCGCTCCAGTCTGGGCAACAGAGTGACACTCCATCTCAAAATAAATAAACAAATAAAAATTTAAAAAGGAAAAAAAGAGATAGTTCCTTCTATCGTCACCCTTACAGATGAGGGAATGGAGGCAGAGAGAGATTAATGCACCCAAGGCCATGGTAAGAAGAGAACTGGAAGTTTGACCTCGGCTCTCTGGTTCCAGGCAATAGAGACAGCTTATCTGAGCAATGGAGATGCCAGCATTTCCAGCATGCTTCAGAGATGGCCTCACCGAGTCCCTCTCCCTCACGAGATCCTCGTTTACTCGCTGAGCCCCTGTAACCTTCATGGAACCAGTTTCATCCCTGGGCCTTCTCCCCTCCCTGGGGTTGTCCCCTTCATTGGCTGGCGTCCCCCTGACTGAATCCACAGCTCCTCCCTGAACCCCAACACCTCCCCAAGCCCCATTTCTTCATGGGGCCCCGTTCCCTCTGCATAGTTCTGCATAGTAGACATCTGACAGGTGTTTATTGTATGGCAGGCACAGCGTAGGTGCGCAGAGTACTGCTGTGAACACTTCAGACACAACTTTCTGCCCTTAAAGAGCTTATACAAATAGTTTCCTACGTGACCAAAATAGATGACAGAGGGACACTGTGTAAGGTGACATAGGGAGGCAGGAAGTGAAAATGTCACCTGTTTGGTGGCATAGGGAAGCAGGAGGTGAAAATGCAGCTCCTGTTTCAGCATCCTGCTGGGTATCAGGACCCCTGTGCGGCCACAGGGCCGCTCTGGACAGAACAGGGGAGGATGGAATGGGGCCAGATGGTGACGGGACCCCCATGCTGACCTCTGCAGTTTGGCTGGATTCTAAGGCAATGGGGCGCCATGGCAGTCTCTTGAGCAGGAGAGTGATGTGAGGCTTGCTAGGAGAGGGGATGAAGGCAGTTGACCCTGGTCTTCTTTCACTCCACCCATCTCCATTAGGAATTCTGTGCGTCTGGTCATCCGGAAAGTTCAGTATGCCCCAGAGAGGCCTGGTCCCCAGCCCACAGCCGAGACCACCAGGCAGTTCCTAATGTCGGACAAGCCCTTACACCTAGAGGCCTCCCTGGATAAGGAGGTAGGAGACTTGGCAGGGGGTGGGGGCTGCTCCACCAGGGCCTGACCTCAGATCCCTGCTCTCTCCTGGCCTGCGGGGATGCCTCAGGCAAGAGCTTTTACCCCCAGCCTGAGGACCACAGGGCTCAAGGAATCTGAGACCTCCCCTGGGGGATCTGGAGAAGCCTCTTGGGCCTAAAGGAGTGGCAGAGGGGGCATGAACCTGAAGGATGTGATGGACTTCGGAAGGGAGCAGAGACCCTCCCGAAGGTCCTGGACATCCTCCCCCACCTCCACCAGCTGCCTGCCTTAGTCCGAGAGCTGAAGGCCAGCGAGCTCTGCAGAGGGGACAGGGGAGGTCACGGCCTCCCCTCCAACCCTGAGCATCAGGACAACGAGCCCTGCAGAAGGAAGGGCCTCCCCTCAAGCTCTGATTCAAGCCCAGCTGACTGACGCCTGCTGTGAGCTCAGGCTGGCCCTTCCATGAGGTGTGGGCACTCCCCCTTCTAGGGGCATGGCTGAAGGCACGTGCCTTGGGAAGATGCAAGTTAAGGCCTTTTGGGAGGGATTCAGAGCTGGCTCCCTCCGTGAGCTGGTCAGCCACTCCTCACCTTTCCCTGCTTCTTCCAGAGCCTTCCATGGACAGATTTTAGAGCTGGCAGGGTCTTGAGACATCACCCAGTCCAACCTCTTCATTGCACAGAGGGAGACCCTGAGGCTTAGATAACCTACCCCAGGTTGCACTGCTTTTCTCATGTCGTGATTACTGGTGGCCAAACCAGGACTGGAGCCCAGGACTGTCACCTTCCAATTCCATTATCTTTCAAGGGTCCCTCCAGGGAACTGAAGGGCTAGTGTACTTGGTTCCTTAGCAGCAATGGGAAGCGGCTGATGAACTTAAGGCAAATATCAGAATGCCCAAGGTCTGAGGAACCCAGGAAGATCATGGGGGGCTTTTCTCCCTCCTCTTTCCCTAGAACCTTGCTATCCTCCCAGCCATTCCTTCTTATGCCCCCCAGATCTATTACCATGGAGAACCCATCAGCGTCAACGTCCATGTCACCAACAACACCAACAAGATGGTGAAGAAGATCAAGATCTCAGGTACCCCAGGCAGATGATCAGCGTAGGGGACAGGAGAGGCAATCTTCCCATGGGCTGGGGGTGGCTGAAGGGTCTGCCTTGTCAACAGCCTTGTATAATAAATACAAGGGCCTGCCCTGAGCCACAGGGCCCCACTTTTGAGGCGAGTCAGGGAGGCTGTTTATTGGCCAGGTAATGAGTTCATTCTTTAAGCCACCTCTTCTCTTCAGTTTCTTGGGTTCTGGGCAAAGCTGTACTTGAGGAGAAGGCTTTGGTTATGGAAGGAAATTTGTGTGTTTTGGGGCTACCCTTTGGATGGAAGACAGAGGTAGTCTCAGGCAGAAGTCCCTACTGGTGGCCTGTGGCCATTGCCTGGGGCTGAATATCCCCAACCCCAGGAAGCCTGAGAGACTCCATGGGAGCTGCATTCCAGACTCGCTCAACCTCATTCCTCTCCCTCCCCAGTGCGCCAGTATGCAGACATCTGCCTTTTCAACACAGCTCAGTACAAGTGCCCTGTTGCCATGGAAGAGGCTGAGTAAGTGAGCACACATCTGGCCTTGGGCATGTGGGATTGGGCGGGAAAAAGCTCTAGGTATCCTGTTACAGGTCCAGGTGTCTCTTCTTCACCTGGCAGAGGGCTGGGCCTCAGAATTCCTTGCCACTCAGAGTAGATGATCCCAAAGAGCCTTTTAGAAACCATCTACCTGATTTAGCTACAAGAAAATGCAAGGTACAATCAAGGAAGAGACCCACTAAAACTAGAATGACAAAACAAGAGCTAATGAATGTAAGGGGATTGGGATTGGGGAAAGAAAATAATTACATTGTACAAGAAACCTAGGTTGAAGGGAAATACTTTGTTCTGAGCTTCCTGGTAGCCAGGGCAAAGTAGGTAAGGCACTAGGTGCACAGTCTAATAAAGGGTAATCCAGCTCACTGGGTAAAGGGGTTGTGTGTGGGAGTGTAGAGACTAATTATACACAGACATTAAAAAAAAAAATCTAGGTTTGAGGAGAACTACTATGGTTGAGTGTGGACTGAATTTTGTCCCAAGTTTGTTGGCAGTTAAGGCAAGAGGAGAGATCTCAAGTGAAACATCTTTACTTACCTAAAGGAAATAAATGCTCCCATTTAAAGACACACACAGTCTTTTTCCTGGCCCTACAAGTAATTTCTTGGGGCAATTACACCTGATGTAATTTTACTGTGTATGTGTATTTGTTTATATATAATTCCAATCAGTATTTTTTGCAACTTCAAACATTTAAAAAATTACTAGATGGCCTTGGAGACAGTTTTTAATGTCCTGTAGGTGAACATGCTATGTTGAGATCAAGCATTCTCTGGTTACTGGATATTTTTGATATTCACTGTTGTTCTTTTTTATTTTTATTTATTTACTTATTTATATTTTGAGACAGAGTCTCACTCTGTCACCAGGTGCCAGGCTGGAGTGCAGTGGTGGGACCTTGGCTCACTGCAACCTCCGCCTCCTGGGTTCAAGCAATTCTCCTGCCTCAGCCTCCTGAGTAGCTGGGACTACTGGCGCACGCCACCATGCCCAGCTAATTTCTTTTGTATCTTTAGTAGAAACGGGGTTTCACCATGTTGACCAGGATGGTCTCAATCTCTTGACCTCGTGATCTGCCCACCTCGGCCTCCCGGAGTGCTGGGATTACAGGTGTGAGCTACCACGCCCAGCCTCTTGTTCTTTTTTTAAAAAAATCAGAGCCATGAAGCATAGATTCCAGATGGTAAAGTGAAGTGATCTAGAACAGAGTAACATATAATCCCTGAAGGGTAGAACATCCCACCCCCGCAGATGGTGCCAGGGTCTGCGTAACAGATCCCAGCAGGGGTGGCTGGGTAGGCCTTTGCACTCATAGGCTTGTTTACTTCTCAGGAAGCCCATGGGGCTGGGGTTGCTGCTGCCCCAGTGTGTTGAGGAGGAAGTGGCTAGAGAGATGTGACTTGTAAGCTAGCAAGCAGCGAAGCTGGGGCTGGTGCACAGGTTGTCTGACTCCACGGCTTGCTCGCTATCTGCTGCATGTCAGCTCTCTCTTTGGAAAGGATGGGGGATAGAGCAAAAGCAAGCAAAAACTGGACAATCAAAACACACTATACATGATGGATGCGATAAAGCAAGTGGAGTTTTAATTGTTGAGCCTAGATGGTGGGTATGTGGGTGCCCAAATAGTTTCATTTATGGTTTATGTGTCGCTATAATTTTTTTTTAAATTTGTTTACAGACAGGGCCAGGTGCAATGGCTCACACCTGTAATCCCAGCACTTTGGGAGGCTGAGGTGGGCAGATTACTTGAGGTCAAGAGTTTGAGACCATCCTGGTCAAGATGGTAAAACCCCATCTCTACTAAAAATAAAAAAAATAGCTGGGCGTTGTGGTGCGCGCCTGTAATCCCAGCTACTTGGGAGGCTGAGGTAGGAGAATCGCTTGAACCCAGGAAGTAGAGGTTGCAGTGAGCCAAGATCGCACCACTGTACTTCAGCCTGGATCACAGAGCAAGACTGCCTCAAAAAATAAAATAAAATTTGTTTAGAGATAGAGTTTTGCTCTGTTGCCCAGGCTGGAGTACAGTGGTGCGATCTTGGCTCACTACAGCCAGCCTCGAACTCTTGGGCTCAAGTGATCCTTCTGCCTCAGCCTCTCAAGTAGGTGTGCACCACCATACCAGGCTAATGTTTAACATGTTTTGTAGAGATGGAGACTTGCTCTGTTGCCCGGGCTGGTCTCAAACTTCTGGCCTCAAGTGATCCTCCTGTCAGCCTCTCAAATTGCTGGGATTATAGGTGTGAGCAACTGTGCCTGCTGTGGCTGTCATTTTTTAACTAAATGTGCTTTTTAGCACTGTGCTGCTTGACTATGATAATCTCTTAGAATATCCCAGATCCAGTCCTGTTTGTGCATAGAATGTGGATGTGCCTTTTTTGAGTCGCAGTGGTCTCCGGAGCTGGGCTGGCCCAAGTGGTCCCTGTATCTGTGGGGGATAGAAGTCAGGAGAGGGAGGCTTGGAGCAGGGCCAGACTAGACATTCTGCTGGGCTGGAGAGCAGGGCTGGGGTTGGCTCTGGGGAGGGCCAACTCCACAGCTGCTTCCTTTCTTCCCAGCGACACTGTGGCACCCAGCTCAACGTTCTGCAAGGTCTACACACTGACCCCCTTCCTGGCCAACAACCGTGAGAAGCGGGGCCTTGCCCTGGATGGGAAGCTCAAGCATGAAGACACGAACTTGGCCTCTAGCACCCTGTGAGGACCTGCCCGCCTAGCCCTGGGCTCCTGGTGCACGTTGCTTTTCACCCTCCTTGGTCCCTCCAGTTCAAAGACAAGGCTCAGGCTACCCTCTCCCCAGCCTTGTCCAGGGCCTGTCCTCAGGTGCTTGACTTATCAGGGAAGCTACCTCCTTACTCCCATCCCTATCCAGGGGTGACCGAGGGACTAAGATGGACCAGTAGGCCAGCTCACTCAGGCAGTACTGGGCTCTGTTACCAAGTCCGGGGAAGGGCAACCTGGGAAGGCTTCCTGCAAGAGGTGGCAGCTTCTGACCCAATGCCTTCAGTCAGATGGGGTATCCCTGAGGAAAGACCAGGGTGGTGAGCTGAGTTAGACCCAACATGGGGTGCCCCTCCAAGTCAGTGGCCCCAGGGCCTCTGGTCACTCCTGCTGCTTGGTCATCACAGATGCCTCGAGGCTGCTCCACTCCAGCAGTGCTCTGTGTGTGGGGCTGCCATCTTTCCCTCTTGCAAGTGTGGTCCTTCGTCGGGGCTTTGGCCTGTGTCTAGAGCAGCCTCCACTCCCAGCATGAACTCAGCTCTCTTCCCAGCAACTACACATCCTCCCACTTACCTGAAGCTTTTGGCCCCATCTCCACCCTGGCTCGAACTTTACCCATCTTCAAGACCCAGCTGAGGCACCACCTCCACGGAGAAATCCTTCTCTGACAGTCCCCACCCCACCCCAGCAGCCTCGCTCTCTGTGAACTTCCCATCTGGCCCTTTCTGCTCATAGGTTGCTGAGAGAAGCAGAGTCCATCTGAGGGGAGGAGGAGCCTGCCCCTCACCGTGGGGATGCTGGCCTGGGCAGGGAGAGGGGCTCAACGTGGCCACACAGCGAGCGAACCTCACAGCCAGACGTGCAACTGGGGCTCTGGCTCCCCGCTCCCTAATGGCATAGCTTGCCTTCCTCACCTCCACTGGGCTCCACACTGGGCTCTGTTGGACATGGTGGCTGAGAGGCCAGCCAGATAGGGGATGGATAGCCAGTGCCCCCCAGCACACCCACCCCTGCAGGGTCTCGCGCATCCCTCGAGGCCACTGAACCGGCTCCCCTGTGTCACTTTTCAGGTTGAGGGAAGGCGCCAACCGTGAGATCCTGGGGATCATTGTTTCCTACAAAGTGAAAGTGAAGCTGGTGGTGTCTCGGGGCGGGTGAGTGCTCTAGCCCAGCCCAAGATCCCTAGTGCAGAGGGGAGCATCCCAGATGCCCACAGTCCCCTGCCCCATTCTGCCTATTTGCTGTCCTTTCAGCTGCATCCACCTTGGAGCAGGACCTCCTGTCCCTTCGCTTCCTCCCTTGTGGTTCCTCTTTCTCCTCCCCTGTCCACTTTCCCTCTCTTCCATCCTTGGCCCTCAGCCCCTCCCTCAGCCCCCACCCATCTCTTTCTCGCTCTCCTTCTCTTCTATCCTGGGTCTGGGCTTGCGCTGAGGATTGGCCATGCCCAGGCGACAGAGTCCTCAGAGTCTATGTTGTGGGGTCCCCCAGAGTGCCATATTCCTCATCACACCTTGGGACATAGCACCCACCCCCATGCATGCCCAAGCTGATTTTCTGAGGAAGCAGCTAAAAGGGCTCAGAACCCACAGCTGGATTGGGGATTTGCTAGCTGGTCAGCTTTCCCATTTTACAGATGGTGAAACAGAGGCCCAAACAGTGCCCCAAACATTGCCTGAAGTCTCCTCCCCTAACTCAGGTCATGGGCTGGGGTCACAGCAGTGGACCAGACTTTCCTGCCATGGAGCGTAATTTGGTGGAAGCTTGGGGAGGAAAAAAAAAAGCAACTACCTTTTCTGTGTGTGCGTAACTTAGTTCATACATTTCTATGAAAAGATTGAAAAGCTGAATCCCATTAGACATTGGGTCTCCTTGGTTATTAGAAGAATGCCTCTTGGCAGGTGGCACTGTGTAATCCTGACCTTATACAATAGGACACCTGAAGATTACAAATCCCAAATGCTGTGTCTGGTGACCTTTCAGGACCCACAGTCTCTCAAACATTCTTGGCAACCCCGGAGTCCTTCCCTCTGCCTTTAGATAGCCCGGCCTCCCTTGGGGTAGTTAGCACCAGGGTTAATTTTCACACTGCCTTCACAGATGAGGATCCTGGGGCTCAGGGGGTTTTTGAGCTGGGTCTAGATCCCAGTCACCCAGGGCAGCGCTAATGCCGTTTCTACATATCCCTGAATGAGCAGTCAGGGCTGTGCCGGGTGGGGCGGGGGCGGGTGGAGTGTGTCCCGTGGGTCTTCTCTATCTGGGGGCAGCAGAAGTGGTGAATGAATGTGCTTTTTGTTTTCTTCCTCTCTGAACTCTCTCCTGACCACTTCTCCTGCCTCCTCTGACCCACCCAGCCTGTTGGGAGATCTTGCATCCAGGTAAATTCCTCCCTTCCACCTGATTCACCCACCTTCCTGGAGGGCCTGGAGCCGATTGGCTTGACTGACCAGAATCACAGGGCACTGGGTTGGAAGGAATCTTGGTGGTCATTTCAGATTGCCAGGTTCAGGTGTGAGCTGGGAGACACTGTTTCTCTTTAACAAACCTCACTTTGCTCTTCCACCCGAGTGACAGGGACCTTTACAGAGAGCAAAGCCCGATTGCATTGATACAGGGAGTGGCCCCCAAGAGGGCTGTTTGAATTACCGATCAATTGAATTATAGGAGCTTTTGGAGAAATGCAGACTTCATGGCTTTCAAACTTCCGAACTAATGAGAATGAGCTGCTGCTGGCTGAGAGTTGCTAAGGAGAGGTCCTCTTTTGTAAACACAGCTTCCTTGCAGCCAGCTTGATGCACTTAGATTCCAAACATGTCTGTACCCTACACACAGCAGTTTGGCCTTCTGTCACAAGATGGCAGTGTGGCTCATCCTAAGAAATCTTAGCCTGATTTGACAGGTGAAATTCGTTTAATTCAATTCAGTGTAATATCATTCAGCAAGGATTTCCTCAACCCAGGCTGGTACCTAGGCTGGTGCTGAGTGCCAAAGTCCCAGAGAGGAATCAGATGTGCCCCCTGCTCTTATCGTTCCTGGCCTGGTAGAAGATTAAGGTCCAGATTCTTTCCCTAATGTTGGCAAACTTGCTCTTCCACCAGCTCCCCAAAGCAAAATGAAAAAAAAGGAAGAAAAAAAGTCCAAATAGTTCTGACAGCCTTATAAAACCCCAGGTTCCCACTGGGGGAAGTAATGATTATGGCAGGCACAAGCTTCACATTTTCATTTTATATTTTTATTCTTTTTGAGACAAGGTCTAATGCTATTGCCCAGGCTGGAGTGCAGTGATACAGACTTGGTTCACTGTGACCTCCTCTGCCTCCTGGGTGGAAGCCATCCCTCCACCTCAGCCTCCTGAGTAGCTGGGACTACAGGTGTGCACTACCATGCCCAGCTAATTTTTGTATTTTTAGTAGAGACGGGGGGTGGGGAGTGGCATCTCACCATGTTGCCCAGGCTGGTCTCTAACTCCTGAGCTCAAGGGATCTGCCCGCTTTGGCCTCCCAAAGTGCTGGGATTATGGGCATGAGCCACTGTGCCCCGCCAAGCTTTACAGTTTAACTAGCATTTAGCTGCCTCACCTCTAGGAAGTTCCAGTGGCTCTAGAAGACAGGTATTGTTATCCCGACTTCGAAGCTGAGCTCAGTGAGACTCAAAGCCAGAAATTGCTGCGCCAGCGAGTGGCAAGGCTGGCAGAGCAGACCCTTCTAGTTGCCTAGCTTGTGCCTCTGACCACTCCGTTCCCTTTCCCTTTCTCCTTCCCAGCTGGGCTCTGGGCAACAAGATCAGTGAGATGTGGCCTGTGCCTGGAGGCACTCACAATTGGGGGGTCTCCTAGGGTGATGCCACGCCAAGCTGAGAGGAGCCTTCGGGGTTGCTTTTGTTAGTCTCAATCCTGCTACTGTCACACAGTGGCCAAGGGTGTGGTTATGGAGCCAGAATCTGCTATCACTTACCGTTAATAGCTGCATAGCCTTGGGCAAGATATTTTAATCTCCTCATGCTTCAATGCCCCAGTCTGTATACTGGGGATAATAATAGGGTTGTTTCGAGATTAAGTGAGTTACTCTATGGAAGGGGTTTACAGTAATCCTTGGCATAGTCAGCACCATGTGAATACCTGCTCTTATTCTGTCCGTCAGGGCCAGACACAGAGAAAGCCCCATCAGTAGCACTGGCTGGTGGCTGGGTCTTCCCGACCACTTTCCCCCGCATCCCCACAGTGTGGACAGCCTTGGCCCTGGGGCCATCCTAAACCTGACTAAACTGACCTCAACAGTGCTTCACCCAGATTGCAGGGGGACTAGGGTCGCCTGAGCACTTTCACAAGAGCGCCCTGGATGTGTTGGGAGATGGGATGGTGTCAGGGCAGGAGGGGTTCCAACCTGGAAGCTGGGAAGGGCAATGTCAGGGGAGGAGAGGTGGCAGTGGTGATCTGAGGTGGGCAGAGTTTCAGGGCACCTCTGGAGCCCCGCAGTGACCATGGTGCATGCTGCCCTGGGCAATCCTTGCCCACCCCTTGGCCTCCTCTCAGCCTGTGGGAACCCAGGGAGCCGTCTCAGGAAAGGGGAGCCTTCCATTTCTTTTTGGAGCCAGAGGAAGTCTCCTGGTCCAGCTCCCAGGCAGACCGAGGCTCTGAGTGGAAAACTGGGGCTGGAGGGCATCTTTGGGATCTACCTCCTCTGACAGCAAAACCCTCCCCAGTCTTTGGACTGGCAGCGCATCGAATCCCACAGCCTTCGAGTCTGCTCAAGGCTCACTGGGTCTGGGTCTCTGTTTCAGCGACGTGGCTGTGGAACTGCCCTTCACCCTAATGCACCCCAAGCCCAAAGAGGAACCTCCTCATCGGGAAGGTGAGCAGAATCTGTGGGTCTCTGGGGTAGGGGTTCTCCAGCAGCTACCATGTGACCCTGTAACCCACCCCTTGCCCCGGGTTTGCTCTCAGCCCAGGCACCCTTTTCTCAGGTCCCCAGATCTTTCGTGGGGTCCAGAACTAAATTTGCTTCTGACCCTACCAGGAGACAGTGAGGCACAGCTCCTGTTCCCCATGGGAGAGGGAGGCCAGGAGAGGAGGAGGGAGCTCATTGGCCATGCTTTGAGCCTCTATCTTGCACTCAGGCATGGGCTGGGTCCCGTTTGGAAGTAGGGGAAAGGGCTGCATGGATAAGATGACTGCTGGACACCATTGTCATGTTTTTCTTCTTCTTCTTTTTTTTTTTGAAACAGAGTCTCTCTCTGTTGCCCAGGCTGGAGTGCAGTGGTACAATCTCAGCTCACTGCAACCTCTGCCTCCTGGGTTCAAGAGATTCTCCTGCCTCAGTGTCCCAAGTAGGTGGGATTACTGGAGGCTGCCATCATACCTGGCTGATTTTTGTGTTTATCGTAGTGACAGGGTTTCACCATGTTGGCCAGGCTGGTGTTGAACTCTTAACCTCAGGTGATCCTCCTGCCTCAACCTCCCAAAGTGCTGGGATTACAGGCGTAAGCCACCGCACCGGGCCTGTCATGTTTTTCAAGTGATACCAGATTTGTCATATTTCATTGAATCCGAGACTTTCAGTAGAGAGAGTCATCATAGTAGGTACGATTAGGAAAGAACTTGCATGGCTAACCTGTGCAATGCCGTCAATGGTAAGACACTCCAAGTTCAGAGATGTTAAAATGTGAAGGAAAAATTTTTAAAAAAGTTGTCTTAGAGTTGGTGAAAGGCATGCATGCAAGGAATTAACGTAAGTCATGTTGGAGACCTGTCAAAAGGAACAGAGGTCTGGAGGATTTTCTGCTCTTCTGGGGCTGCAGCGGGCATTTGGGCCCTCCTGGTGCCTTCCTCCCTGCCTTCCAGATAATTTGGGGTGTTTTAAGACCAAGAATGAGTCCTCCCCTCTCCATTCCCCTTTTTCCTTCGCCCTCCTCATGTTAGTCTGGTTGTCCCAGGGTGGGGACCTGTGCCCACTTGCCCCATGCTCATCCCTCACTAACCCCTGGACGTCCTGCCCACTGCCCTGTGTTTAGTTCCAGAGAACGAGACGCCAGTAGATACCAATCTCATAGAACTTGACACAAAGTAAGCCGAACCCTGCCTGCAGACATCCGGGTGGGCGGGCCGTGAGGGGGGCACAGGGTGGAGGGGGTCATTTGCATATATGCTTATTAACCCCTGAGGAGCCACTGGTGTAACCCCATCTGCTGAGAGCCGCCTCTGCTCGCCTCTTCAGCAACCCGCTTGCCTGCATGTGACTTGAAGGACCCTCCGTGCCTGTTCCTCTTCCTCCTGCCTTGGTGGGGTCTGTCTTCCTCCCTGGTCCTTGCACGTCCGTCCGTCAGTCCGTTCGTCCATCCACAGCGCCTGCTCGGCTCACACAGGGCTGGTTCGTGGCCCTGGGCTCAGCTCTCCTGTCCTGCCCACGCCAACCAGTGGAATCAGGCTGTGGGGTGGGCAGGGGACTGGGGATCTTGTTGCTTCTGACTCTTGAGGACCGATCGATGTGGATTTCCCTGCGGTCAAAGGCCATCGAGTCACCGGACAGTTGCCAGAGGGGGAGGACTGGGCCGACTGTGTGGACCACCTCCAGGGCCAAGCAGCTTTCTTGCTCCAACTCCAAAGCCAATCTTCCCTTGTCCCCCGGGAGAAATCTGGGGTGTGGAGGTCTCAAGTCACACCATGAGAATGCCCCATGCACTAGCTGAACTCTGTTGGGCAGGAGACCTGGTTGGACCCCTGCAGGTCCCTAAGTGGACATATTTAATGATAGAAGGGTCTCGCTGTTCTTGAAGGCAGTCCTCAGTCCTGAAACCCCATTCAAGTCTCCCCCTTCCTCACAAACAGGTCCTCTGCCCTCCTATTTAGATTCACCATCCTCCTACCCCATCCTTCTCCTGTCCAGGATCCCCCATGGTAGAATCTGAGCTGACACTTCCTGGGAGAAAGGTTCTTCATGGTCTTCTCTTCCGTTAAGCCAAACCACACCTTTCTGTCCAAAAACAGGAATGCTTCCTAAGGGTAGTTGTCTGGGTGGTGGGGTGGCATTTGCCAGGCTATTCTCGGGGGATACAGAACATGCTGTGAAGCTACTGGTGGCCTGGCCTCTTGCAGTGGGAATAAGTCCTTCCTCTGGCTGCAGAGCCACACTGCTCCCCACACCTCCTAAAGAACCAGGTTACTTTTCTAGCCCTCATGCACAAGAGTCAAATTCATGCCTCTCTCTGCCCCTTTTATGACTGGCCCGAGTCCTGATGTGACCGTCCCCACTGCCACAGGTGGCATCCACATGTGCCAGCCAAGCAGGCCTTTCTGCTCATGGTCAGCTCCAGAGCCGGAGACCTCAGAGATGGTGGTTCTCTCCCTGGCCCCAGAGCCACACTCTGAGTCACATCTGGCCGGGCCTCTGGATAAGCCTACTCTCCCTGCCCCTGCAAACACACCACGTTTTCCTTGTCTTTCCCACCAGTGATGACGACATTGTATTTGAGGACTTTGCCCGTCAGAGACTGAAAGGCATGAAGGATGACAAGGAGGAAGAGGAGGATGGTACTGGCTCTCCACAGCTCAACAACAGATAGACGGGCCGACCCTGCCTCCACGTGGCTCCAGCTCCACTCTCGTGCACTCGGATGCTTATTCGTCTTCCCATTCTGGTTTCTCCTCCCCTTTGTTCTTCCAGTTTCTACCAGGGGACCCCCGTGGCCTTCCGGATCACGGTGATGAATCTCTGGGCTCAGGATTGGCCCCAAGTCACCATGCCAACAGGACCACAGCACTCCAGCTTCACCCCATCTCTGCCATCGCCTCCCCACTCCCCTTCTTTACATGCTGTCTCCCAGAAAAGCTTCCAGGGCTCTGGCCTTGGAATTGGACTTGAGATGGGGAGCAGGCAGGGAAGGATGGGGCATGTGTGTGGTGAGCATGAGGGCTTGGAGGGGTGGGGATGAGGGCTCAAGACATAAGGGAAGATGTCCATGGTCCCAGGTGGTTAACACGGTTCTGGCAGCTAAAAGATGACACATTGAAGGCCACCTCCTGGCTGGGAGGGGCAGAACTGTGGACAGATTCTCAATGCCTTTTTGGAGTTCTGACCCACCAAAGACCTTCCACCTTCACCTGCCTTTCCACCCAATGTCCTCATGTCTGATACCGACATTGGTGAAAGTTCGTAGACCCCAGGAGTGCAGAAAAGCAGCTGGACTGACTCCTACCAGCAGTTACCTAGATTGAGGCAACCTGCGTGGACTCGCCCAAGTCTATTTCAGTAGTCAGGATGTGACATCTTAGCTACCTTGTATTTCATGTGCATGGGCCTGCAGAGACATGCACAGAGAAAAAGGCAGAGGGAGGGAGGGAGGGGGTCTTCAGCAAGCACCAGCCCCCTGCAGAGTGAGCTGAAGCTCCTGAGGAGAGTTCCCAAAGTTGGGGGCACTCGGAGATGGGGGCAGGGGGAGGGGAGAGGGGAGTCTGTCTTATGTCCCTTCCTTATGGACTTCACATGGTCATGCAGGAAGCAAGGCTGGGGATCCAGCGGGGGCCGAGGCCACTAGTATCTCCCGCTTTCCCCTGCCATTCCCCAGGGCTGGACTGACCCTGTGGACTGGGAGAGAGAGCCTGAGGCCACCATGCCACAATCAAAGGGGTTCCTACCCCAGAAGCTGGCAGCATCCGTTGAGATATCCTCACCCAAAGGGAAGGAGGCTGCTGGGGCAAAGAAGCCCCTTCTTTTCTTGGGGAGTTGATGACCTCCAGTAGTTCCCAGTGTCATGGGTACCCAGTACACACATACTGGTATTGGTGTGATTAAGACCTGGGGCATTTCCTGGGGCAAGAGGCCAGATGGGAGACGAGGTAGAAAGTGTTAGGAGTTATCTTCCTTGCCTGGCCTTTGAGAATAACTTGCTGTGTGACCTTGGACACGTTCCTTCCCCTCTCTGGGCCTCAGTTTCTCACTTGGTAAAGCAAAGAGCTTGACCAGATGATCGCAATGGGCCCTCCTAGCTCCAGCCGCCAAGAATTTGTGAACATTAGAGCTCCTGGTCTGGTGAGTGGAGCGAGAGCTGCAGACTGGTCTCTCTGCCTCAAGAGGGGACTTATTGGACCTCAGAGGTGACAGGGCCCTATGGAGCACCAACTGCCCTGAACCCCACCCTCTGCCCAGGACTGGGAAGGGAATTGATGTCAGGCTGTGGCCATAGCTAGTATGAGTTGCTCAAGGAGGGACAGAGCATGTATTTGCTGAGGCTTAGCTGAGGGGCTTGTGACAGGTCCTCCAGTACCTCACAGCCCCATGTGAATGCAGACACCCTGAGGTTTACCCAAGCAAATACATTGATTAGCAGGACAAGAGCTCTTTCCTCAATTTCTGCTCCCTTCCATCTCTGTCCCATACTTGTCTGAAAAGAGAGACAAAAAAATCTTATCCAAGTGTGATCTCAACCCTTTACAGTCCAGCACCTCCTGGGGCAGGCAGTGTGATTATTTCCCGTGGTGAAACCACCCGTTTCACAATCCTGGGGCAGGCAGTGTGATTATTTCCCGTGGTCAAACCACCCGTTTCACAATCCTGGCAGTGCACCTTCTGAGTCTCATGACCACTCAACCCAAGGGACCGCTCTTCCCCAGACCAGAACCAAGTCAGCTGGGGCAGCGGTACTCCCCAGGCCAGTCTTGAGGACCTAGCAGCAGGTGTCCCAGCCCCTCTCAGAGCTTGCTGGGCAGGCTGCATCTCATCTGGGCAGGCACAGAACTGATGAAATGCTGGAGCAATGCACGGCAAGCATACGCCCTCCAGTGTCTTCCTCTGAAACCTTTGGGGCTGACACAAGACCCTTTAGTGTCCGGGATGACCCCTCTCCTGCAGACCTCTTCCCCTGTTCCTAACGCATGCATGGAAGAGGTTTGTCAGGCTGGTTTCCCGAGCCTTCTCTCCACCTCAGCATGATACTCACTCTTGGGTTTAGCCTAGTGTTATGTAGCAGATTTCTCCAGCTGCAGGGAAGCATCAGAGCACTTTTTTTCCTCCTAAGCCAGGACTGCACAAGGCAATGGTCAAATTTAGTTGAATCCAGCCTAACCATCCTTTGCTCAGCTCTATGACTCAGCTCTACGCCAAGCGCAGGAGACACAGAGATGGGTCAGTCTCAGCCCCTATCCTCAGGAAGCCCGTGGTCAGGGGAACATTGTAGGGGGAAGTAGTAGAGGGTAGGTCTCTTTAGGGCTCTTGGTGGCTGCTGGTCCTTATGGTGCCTTGATGTGAATTAGAAGACGGTGCCCTTTCTGGGTGGATTCAGACCCACACTAGACTGTGCAGCTTTGTGAGTGACACACAGGTTAGGTTTGGCACCCCTTGCACCATGGCCAGGTGCCCTGCTGCATGGCCATGTGCTGTAGCCTTGAGGGACACACAGACTAAAGAGGCTGTGTTTCCTTCAGCCTCTTCCTGGAGAGGAAGGCCTGGGTCATCTTTCCAAGCTTCTGGTCAGCTCCAAACACCGTCTCCCAGCCTCCGAACACGGCCGAGCAAGCGCTGCTCTGCAGAGCCCCTTTCCATTCTGAAGTCAGCCTGCCCAGGTGAGACCTTGAAGTGAAACTAGGGGTGGGGGAGCTTCACTGGGCCCCCAGGCACCAGCCCACAGTATTGATGGTTTCTGTGCCAAGCATTTGGGGTGGCATAGAACTTTGCGCTGGCAAAGTCATCCCTCACTGGGACATTGCAGCGCTCCCTGTGGGTGGCATGTGGATAGCGGTCTGGGCAGGAAGGAAGAACATGCCCCAGGGAAAACCCACCAAGCAGAGGGCCAGCTGGACCTCCTCAGCATTTCACCGGGGGGAAGAGTTGAGTCCCCATGAAGATGAGGACTGAGTTATTTGGCTGCACCCTCCTCAGCCTCAGAGCTCAGACCCGCTAGAGTGGGTTCACCTGGTTGTTGGTTTTGTGGGAGAGTTCCTGACAAGCTGGTTCCCATGTGGTGCAGTCAGAGGAATTCTGTCCTGGAAGTCCCCAGTGCTGCCTCTCAGTCCTGGCTGTCACCAACCACCTGGGGGACTTGGGCAAGCTACTCGACCTTTTGAGCTCAGTTTCCCTAACTGTAAAATGGGACTGTAATCCCTTCCCTGCCTGACGCAGGAATTGTTATGAGGCCCAGATGAGATGAAAGTCAGCGGTCGGGGCTCTGTACATTGAAAATGGCTGCACAGGTATGGCCCTGCCACTGCAGGGATGGCCCAAGGTCACACAGGAAGTTTGCTGCAGGAGGAGCCCTCCCCACCAGTCTTCATCTCTTGCCCTACTTCTCACGTAGGCAGATGTCAACAGAATGAGATACAGCCAGTTTGGCTTTGATGACCCAGCTGAGAGTAGACACAATTCAGGAATATCATGCCCAAAAATAGTGGTCCCAGCAACCAAGACACAGAGGGAAGACATGGATGCTGTCAGTGATTGATGGATGGGGACATCTTGGACCCTCCTCAGCCTGGTGTCACTCACATCTTCCATCTCTCAGACCCTACAGAGGCCAAGAGGCCTTGGCTCTGACCTCAGGTTAAAGAGCGCATCCAGCTCCCAGGCTCAGGGAGTGGAAACCACCGCTATTCCACCGCAGAAATCTAAGGGCAAGGAGAAATAGAAATTGCTTGTTCCTTCCTTGAAAGTGTAAGGCCTCTTCCAGGATCAACTGGAGCCACCACAGCTTCTCGGCGACATTGGGAGGGCTTCGGGCCCAGGGAAAATCCAAGCCTTTTGCCCTGAGAGCTGAGCCACAGGGGATCCATCCCCCAGTGGTGTCAGCGGCCCAGAGAAGTGGCTTCTCCTCTGCCAGTCACTGGGGATGGATGCTCCCCACCCATTCAGGAGGAAGGGGTTAGGCCCCTGTCTTACACTCTTACAGGGTCTCATGGACATAGGCCTATGCCTATTCTGATACAGATATTTTTTAAACTCAATAAGGACCAAAACAGACCCCTGAACCCTCATGTATATGGCCTGCATTGGGCCTGGTGTTGTGTCCTCCTGGCCCAGGCAGCTCCATGACTTCTGCCCTCCCTCCTGGACTAAAGTGGCAGGATCCCCATCTCTGCCTCTTCCCTACAGGGTCACTGCACAGCAGCTTCAAAGAGAGGCCCTGTTGAAGGGGAAACATCTTCCCCGCATCATGCTCCCAAGTCCTCACCCCAAAAGAAGTTAAAGCACAGGTCCGTGGGACCCATGGTTCGTAGACACCGACAGTGGTTTTCAAACCAGGTGCTGTGGAACCCCTGGTATTCCACAGAGCTTTGTCAGGGGCTGCTAAGGTGGGAAGATGGGAGTGGAGGCAAAGGATAGGTTTCCAGCCCTCCTCCCATTTCCACCTCCACCAGAACAACTCTGCTTTTATGTCTTGCCAACTGAGATTTCATTTTCAAGCTTTCTTTGAAGAAAAACTTCAAACCACCATCTTGAAGTTTGATCTTAGACCAGCAAGCACAGGTTCTATTCTTGCTGTTCATGTTGGAATGGCTCCAGCACTCCAGCATTCCAGTACAAAGTGTCTTTGCATTGGAACTTGGGTCACAGACCCAGGCCCAATCATTTACACACACACACACACACACACACAACACACACACACACACAATTGATGGTTTTTCTAGCCAACCCACCCTGAAGCTCTGGCCAAGGTTTGATTTGGACAGGGGACTGGCCCTCAGTGGGGATGGGTCCCATGGGGATTTGGCTCATGAAGTATGGGGAGCTCTGGAGCAAGGAAACAGCCTCAATCCCCCGCCGAGGACTTGTGTCTGCATCCCTGTGTGGGGCCCCACTTTCCTGGCCCAGGCCCAGTGGACAGCAGGAGAAGCAGGGTGATGAGAGAGAGGCTAGGGTTAAATTCATCTTTACATAAAGCCAGTAGGATGGAAATCTTGGCTTACATAAAAGACAGACTCAGGGAGGATTTTATGACAAAAGTCCCTCCTTTGATGGCAGGATTCCCCCAGGAATCCTGGACATTTTGGTGAGACCTGGACCAGCCCTTGGCACAAAATCCTGCCTGCCCTGTCCCCCACCCACCACCCCCAGGGAATTCTAGGTGAAAATGTGGAGCTCAGGGCACAGCAAGCGCATGACATGGGTCTACTACATTGGTCTGAGTGTGTCCTTAGTTTCCCTGTGTGTAAAATGGGGCTAGTGTCAGGCTCTTCCCACCCCACTGGGACGATTGCAAGGGTCATAGGAGAGGTGGATATGGTGGTCATATGAGGTGGTGAGTATGAGAGGTAGGTGACTCACAAACTTGGGATATGGTCCTGACCTCTACGGTAGATGAGCAGAGCACTTGGGAACTAGCATAGGAAGTGCCGTCTTCTTGGGCATCTCTGCTCAGTGTTAAGGTCTAGCTGCAGATGCTGTGGGACCTGCCTCTTTCTATGGAATGGGAGCCTGCATGGATTGTGTCCTGGGGCGGGAGTGAGAGATGGCTGAGAAGAGTCTCCAGGTCTGTGGCCCTTTTGTTGAGTGATTATTTTGTGCCACTCTCATTCCTGGACCACCTGCCAGGTTTATCTGTTATACCTGTGGCATTCTTATTATGTCAGACGAGTTATTATAGTTTATTCAATTCTAACAAATGAACAAAAGAACAATAAATAGGAGGCCATTAAAGGTCTTTTGTGACAGAGGATGCTGGCTGTGCTTTCATTTCTGTCTCATAAGCCCATGGCAGGACAAAGACGAAGAAATGCTGGCCTGCTGCCCGGGACTGGCAGATGGGACTCATGACTGGGTGTTCTCTTCCCTTGTTATGCGTGGGTGTTGTCTTTCCTTGTCTGTGGCCCCAGCTCCAGCCTGGTCCTGGCACCCACTTCTGGAGACTGCCAAGGACTTTTCTCCTGTCCCTCTCCTGCCACTCTTCAGCCTTATGGCCTTGGGAGGCTGCCAAACCAGATACCACTGGACCTTATGCCCATGGTTTGCTCCTAGGGTGAAGCCACCCTGTCTTCTATCTTTGGCATCACTGACCACATCAGCTGGAGTCCTTGCTCCAGCCCCAGTCCTGGTTCTTGTTCAGTGCTCATCTCCTGCTCTGCTGGGTCTTCCTAAAGTCACCTCAGTTTTCTAAGACTTACCTGCCACCTGGTCTAACAGAACATATGGGAGGAAAAAGGATATCAGTGAGAAAGAGTCGATGTTCCAAACGCTAATGTGTCTATTAACACAAAAGGAAAACACCCATGTGTATAAGATGACTTTCCTAGAAAATTAATTACATATGAATAATATATATATATATATTTTGAGACAGAATCTCAATCTGTCACCTAGGTTGGAGTGCAGTGGTGCGATCTTGGCTCACTGCAACCTCTGCCTCCCAGGTTCAAGAGAGTCTCATGTCTCAGCCTCCCCAATAGCTGGGATTACAAGTGTGTGCCAACATGTCCATCTAATTTTTGAAGCTTAATTTATACATTAGGTGCAGTAAGAGATTAACAATAATAATAATAAAATAGAACAATTATAACAAATGCCAGCATCACTACTTGGCACTTTGGGGCCAATGTTAAGGTAGCATACGCAACCAAGGTACACCAGACAAAACAACGATTTCTGTCCCAGGCAGGAGAGAGTGGGTCAGTGTGAGATTTCATCACACTATTCAGAATGGTGCACAGTTTAAAACTTGTGAATTATTTATTTCTGGAATTCTCCATTTAATATTTTTAACTGTCATTGACTGCAAGTAACTGAAACTAGGGAAAGCAAAACTGAAGATGGGGGCAACAACTGTAACTATAAAAATGTGACTGGCTGGTCGCAGTGGCTCATGCCTGTAATCCCAGCACTTTGGGAGGCTGAGGTGAGCAGGTCACAAGGTCAAGAGTTCGAGACCAGCTTGGCCAATATGGTGAAACCTTGTCTCTACTAAAATAATACAAAAATTAGCCGGACATGGTGACATGCGCCTGTAATCCCAGCTACTTGGGAGGCTGAGGCAGGAGGATTGCTTGAAACTGGGAGGTGGAGGTTGCAGTGAGCCGAGATTGTGTCACTGCACTCCAGCCTGGGCAACAGAGCAAGATTCCGTTTCAATTAAAAAAGAAAAAAATGTAACCAATTCTGAAGGAAAAATACAATCAACAGATGCCAACTCTAAGATGACTCAGATATTGGAATTATAAAAGATTTCAAAGTAGCTGTTATAACTTGAAGTAGATGGAAATAGTTGTTCCCAGCAGAGATATAGAAACTATTAAAAAAGAACCAAATGGAAATTTTAGAACCGAAAAGTACAAATCTGAAATTAAAAATTTATTGGATAAGCTCATAGCAGAATGGGTATGACAAAAGAAAGAGTCAGCGAATTTGAATATAGATCAATAGAAATTATTATCTGAAAAACAGAGAAAATAGGTTGAAAAAATTAACAAAGTCTCAGAGACCTGTGGATCAGTATCATAAGGCCTAATATTTCATGTCACTGGACTCCCAGAAGAGAGGAGAAAGGGACTGATGGAGAAAATAATGGCCACTAACACCCCAAATTTGGTAAAAGACATAAATTTATAGATTCAAGAAGCTGTGCAAATCTCAAATACATTAAACTCAAAGAAAATCACATATAAACATAAATAATCAAACTGCTGAAAACCAAGGAAAAATTTAAAAATTCTGAAAGCAGCTAGAGAAAAGGACACATTCATGTATTTTCTTCCATACAAGTAATGACTATCTGAATGCAGATTTCTTAATAAAAGACAAGGAGGCCAGAAGAAAGTGGTACAACATCTTTACAGCACTAAAAGAATTGCCAACCCAGAAATCTATATCTAGTGAGAACATCCTTCAAGAAGAATGCAAAATAGATTAGCAGATGGAGGAAAACCAAGAGAATCTGTCACCAGCAGATTTACTCTAAAAAAAAATGCTCAACAAAGTTATGTAGTTAGAAATGATGCCAGAGATAAACCCAGATCTTTAGAAATTAAGAGCAGCAGAAATGATAATTATCTGGATACATTTAAAATGCTATATTTATCATTTATCCCCTAATCTTCTTAAGTTCTTTAAAGTATTTATTATTGTTTTTTTTTTTTAATTTGTTTGTTGGTTTGTTTTTTGACAGGGTCTTGCTCGTTCACTCAGGCTGGACAGGCTGGAATGTAGCGGTGTGATCGTAGCTCACTGCCACCTTGAACTCCTGGGTTCAGATGATTCTCCCACCTCAGCCTCTTGTGTAGCTGGAACTACTGGCATGCACCACCACACCCAACCAATTTTTTGTTGTAGAGATGGGACCTTGCCATGTTGCCTAGCCGGTCTTAAACGCCTGAGCTTGCTGGGCACGGTGGCTCAAGCCTGTAATCCGAGCACTTTGGGAGGCCGAGGCGGGTGGATCACGAGGTCAAGAGATCGAGACCATCCTGGTCAACATGGTGAAACCCCGTCTCTACTAAAAATACAAAAAATTAGTGGGGCATGGTGGTGCGTGCCTGTAATCCCAGCTACTCAGGAGGCTGAGGCAGGAGAATTGCCTGAACCCAGGAGGCGGAGGTTGCAGTGAGCCGAGATTGCGCCATTGCACTCCAGCCTGGGTAACAAGAGCGCAACTCCATCTCAAAAAACAAACAAACAAAAAACGCCTGAGCTCAAACGATTCTCTTGTCTTGGCCTCCCAAAGTGCTGCAAATACAAGCATGAGCTACCATGCCTGCCTTATTACTGTTGAAAAAAATATATTAACATTGATAGGTTTACCAGTGTTGATGAAATACATGTTAACAGCTATAATGGAAAGCTCAGTGGGGGCAGATAAGCATATTTGTTTTCAAAGCTTCTATATTACATGTGAAATGGTGAAATGGTACGATGTTAACTCTAAGTAGACTGTGAAAGGTTATATATATATATTGACCCTACAGCAAAGACTAAAATGGAGCCAGACATATAGATAAATTACAATAGTGAAAAAAAATTAATGACACACTAAAAACATCCAGGTATTGTAAAAGAAGACAGGAAAGTTGAAACAAAAGAATAAAAAATAGGTGGACAAACAGAAAAATAAAAGTGGTAGACCTAAATACAACCATATCGATAACTACATTAAATGTAAATGAACTGCGTGTAACAAAAGATAGAGATTTCCAGATTGGATTAAAAAACAAGAGCTGATTAGTGGTCTATAAACATATTTTAAATGTAAAGAAACCTACTTTAAATATAAAGACATAGATAAGCATGTCTTTATGAAAAGAATAAAAAAGATACACCATGCAAACAATAATAAAAAGAAAGCTGAAATGGCTATATTAATATCAGACAAAATCGGCTTCCGTACAAGAAATGTTACCGGGGTAAAAAGGGACGTGTAATAATAAAATCCATTTACCAGGAAAAGGTAACAACCCTAAATGTGTATGAATCTGATCGTGGTGCTTCCAGATATACAAAGCAAAATGTAATAGAACCGAAGGGAGAAATATACAAATCCACAACATTCCTCCCTCAGTAATTGATGAAACAAGAAGACGGAATATTAGTACAGGAAGACCTGAACAACAATATCAGTTTGACCTGATAAACACTACAGAATATTTCATCTCTAAAAACAACTGAATATGCATTTTTTTCAAGTGTACATGAAACATTCTCCAAGAACTATTTTCTGGGCAAAAAAATCTTAACAAATTTTAAATAATTTGTATGTTTTTTATTTTAAACTTTTAAAAATCTTTCTTTTCTGAGGCAGGGTCTCACTGTGTTGCCCAGTCTGGTCTTGAACTCCTGGGCTCAAGCAATCCTCCTGCCTCGCCCTTGCAAAGTGCTGAGATTACAGGCATGAGCCACCACACCCGGCCAAATTTAAATGAATTCAGATCATAAGTATGTTCTTTGGTCACAGCAGAATTAAATCAGAATAATAGAGAGTTAATTGGAAAATTTGGAAATGTTTGAAAATTAAGCTATTTCTAAATGGGCCAAAGAGGAAATCAAAAAGAAATTTAGAAAATACTGTGAAATTACACCAGAAAGGAGCATCCATTTCAGGTCGGAGATGGGGGCGGGGGAGAAAAAAGAAAGAAAACACTGTGAATTAAAGGAAAATAAAACAAATATCTAAAATTTGGGGATTCAGCTAAAGCAGTGCTTATCTCAACAGATGCAGAAAGACACTTGACAAAATTCAACATCTGCTCATGATTTAAAAAAGCAAAACAGCTCTTAGAAAACTTGTTAACCTGATACAGAACATCTATGAAAAACCGACATTTACTAACATAGTTTTGGGTGAGAGACTTAATACTTTTCCTCTAACATTGGGAACAAGGCAAGGATGACTACTTTCACCACTCCTATTTGACATTATACTAGAGGTCCTAGCCAGTGCAATACGGCAAAAAAGAGGTACAAAAGTCCTACTGATTACAAAGAAGAAATAAAATAGGGCCAGGAACAGACGCTCGATAGCCGTAATCCCAATACTTGGGGAGGCCGAGGCAGGAGGATCACTTAAGCCCAGGAGTTTGAAACCAACCTGGGCAAGATGGCAAGACCCCATCTCTACAAAAGCTTTTAAAAATTAGGCATGGTGGTGCATGCCTGTAACTCCAATTTCTCGGAGACTGAGGTGGGAGGATCCCTTGACCCCAGGAGTTCAAGGTGGCAGTGAGCTATGATTGCA